AAACCTGGACCACAAAGGCCTGCTTCGGTCAGACCTGAACCACTAAAACCTGGTTCAGTCAGAACTGAGCCACCAAAATTTGACTCTACAGGACCTGGGTTGCCAAAAACTGGTTCAGTTAGACTTAAACCGCCAAAGACTAATTTAGTCAGATCTGAACCACCAAATATTGGTTCGTTTGCAACTAAGTCTCGGCCCGGCCAACCTTTTGTTATAGAAATTTTAGTTCCCACACCTACTTTAGAGCCTCTGATTGCTTCTATTCTCATCGCCACAAGTTCGGAATCTCCGATTATGCTTCATGAAAGCGTAGACTTGCCTTGATTCAAAGTGAAGGTCACAGACCGTCTCGGTCCTTTGCATGAAAATCATGACGAAAACCAAGCAAGAGAGCGTCCGGGGCTAACAAATAAGCTATGCACAACATGTCGTACTGGGAGATATACCCACCTTTTCAATAGGTTGAATGCTACTTACATGGAGATGGGACCGACGACTAATCGCCTCGGGTTGCGAGTTGAAGTTCAAGAGCCCGTTGAGGCCCCACACTCACGAAAGCATGGTTTTAAACATGAGACTCTTGGGGAATTATCTTCATCAAAAAAAGATGACCAACATATGATAGGTTGCTCTGGTAATTACGCCGATGAGTTGTACTATCGAACCGTGAGTACGAAAAAGACTCAGAAGGAAAATACTTGGGAAGCGGCTTCTCATTGTCCATGCACCAAGCTCATCAGGGTGATGTTATTAGAATGTAGTTGTCCTGTAACTGCTTCACATAGAGTTTTAGTATTTAAAAGGCTCTCTACTGAAACATCAAAGGCCAAGCCTAGGGATTTCCACAGGAGAAAACTAGCCGTCCAAGATGATGAACTTCCGGATGTCATTATTAACATGGCTGACAAAGGAAAATCCACTCGACGTTTTAGCCCCGAACCTTTCCCAGAAATATCTCAGCGAATGACTCGGCTACAAACCGGGGCTATCAGGCTTAGAGATTATAGGAGAGTTCATAGAGGCTAGTCCTCAAATGATGAAGCATCAAATACAAACTCCGTAATTGCTTCAAATGCTAATGTATCTAGCACAGGATGAACTTAAGAGGCATTCATGATTATAACTGAGTAGATGGCTTAGCTCCTTCAAGAAGCCTTAGCTAAGCAAAAGGAGGATTTCAAAATCGAAATGGAGATGGTCGTGCAACGGGTCAAAGATTTACATGCCCAGCAGCTCCAAGAGTTGTCAAATCAGCACTAGGAATTTAGTCGTCACCACACTACTAATCGGTAGATAGAGACTCAGAAGTAGAGAAGAATATCAATGCCGATATTCCACCTGATGATAAAAATGCTGAGGATGGCCTCAATGCTGGGGGTAGACCTACTAACAATACCAACACTGGGGGTGGCACTATCATTCCTTTTCAAAATTGCCCGAAGATAGATACAGATCTTAAGATTAAAGACCTCGAAAGCAAGATCAATGCTTTAATGTCTGCTCAAGAGGTAAAGAAGACTGGCATTCAGTGTCCTTATCCGAGTGAGTGGGAATCGATTCCATATCTGGTGAAGTTCAACCTGATTAACATCATGCCGTTCGATAAAAGGGGTTCGCCCACTCAACACTTGATTTACTTCAAATCCCATCTAGGGGTCATTTCAGGCAATGAACCTCTGATGTTAAGATCATTCTTCGGAACCGTTCATGCAGCTATCTTCGATTGGTACCGCCGTCTTAAGCCAGGGAGTATCAATAGCTAGGATGACTTAGAGAGCATGTTTCTCACCAAGTTCTTCGATGATGATACTGATGTGTCAATTGGAACACTCTTTGATGAGAAGCAGAAAGACGGGGAACTGGTTGAGAACTTCATCAAGAGCTTCCAGAATAAGGCAATAAACTGCCGAGATCCGGTCATAGAGGAATTCATTCTCTAAGCATGCCACAACAACCTTTCCGTGGATGTGTTAGAAGCTATGGGCATAACACCATCCAAAACGTGGAAACAGTTGAAGGTGCGATAGGAGCAGGCTGAACACCTCCTCAAGAGGAAGAAAGCTGAAAGGGGTCAGCCGACAAATAACGCCCCAAAATAGAACTTCACCCCCTGTGGTAAAGGAAAGGTGCAGGCAAATGTAGTGGATGTAAATCAGACATTCTAATTGTAATCCTAACAGCAGTCGTAATAACAAGCACCAAAGCAGCAAATGCCTCAATAGCAGCAACAACCTCAAAGGCCGCAGAAGACTTTCGGACCGAAGTTCCCAAAGAAATATTCTTTTAAGGAAGATGAAGTCCCTGTCATCTTTAAATACCTCATGGACAACAGTAAGATCAAGCTACCTCCGGTCACCAACGAGGAAGAAGCTAAAAGGACAACTGATCCAAAATATTGCACCTTCCATAGACGGGTTCACTATCCCACCAAGATGTGTTATACCCTTAAAGACAAGATCCAAGCCTTGATCAAAGCCAGCATCATCACTGCAAATCCACCCAAGGAGAAGAGGGTAGGTGCAAACGCACTCTTCATCTGTTTCGGTTCTGTCCCTACAACCTGGTTTCAAACCAAACTCGTTCCAAAAGTGGAGATGAGGACCGTTAATGACGATCCGCACGGATAGAGCAAGAATTGACTTGTGCAGCATATGACGCCTAATGGTGAAATTTTATGGGTCCATCTGGATCTACTCAAAGATGAACAGTGGGTGGGAACCTTATCTAAGAAAAAGTTTAAAGGCAAAGGCAAATCCTACTTGCCCGCGACAGCAATCATAGAAAAAGAAGATAAATGTATCCCTACCTTATCGCTTTCTGGAGATGAAAACGAAGCCTTTGCTACTAGAGGAGGGAATGAGTATCATTATAAATATCCCCAAGCTTCTGATGCAACTACCAAAATGTTGGCTGAGCTGGGGGTGGTAACAACTCCCCCCACTTTTACAGAAAAATCTCAGCAACAACCAATTAACAAACAAAAGGACAAAGAACCGCAATGCTAAGAAACTCAAAACCCGAAGCAGTCCTGATTTAATCATTCGATTGGAAGGGATAAACCAGGGAGTTCGAATGAACCGTACCATTTCGATGTCATGAATCAACTAGCTAACATCCCGGTGAGAATAACCTTATACGAGCTATTGAGTCTTTCTAAAGACACGAAATAGGCCTTGCAAGAAGCTTTGGCTGATGTCGATGGGTTCCTCACTCACATCAAGCCAATTCCCAAGGAACCGGAACCACCAATTCAGCACTGTAGGAGATGTGTTTGTCATCAAAAAGATACGGCACTATCTCATCGGACAGACAATCTACATCATTTCTAACGTCAACCCAGTCTGGGTATTCATCATGCAACTGGCCTCTACGAATTGGAGACTAGCGAAATGGGACATACTCCTATCTCAATATGATCTGTACTTCAAACAACAGAAGTCAGTCAAAGGATAGGTGATTTGTGATCTTCTAGTGGCTAACCCTACAGTGGATACAACCAAGTTGTATGAAGATTTGCCAAATGAAACTCATGAAGTCAATACTACCTTTCATCAACAGGTGTGGTAATTATACTTCGATGGCGCTTCTCGAGTGACCAATACAGCAAGCGCTCCCTGTAATTCTAGAATCTCCGCAAGAGTCGAAGTCATCCTAGTTTCTCCACAAAAACATGTGATACCCTGAGCTTACTCGTTGATAGGAAAGTGTTCCAATAATATAGCCGAATATAATGCACTACTTACCGGGCTCAGTTTTACCAAAGAGCTGGGGGTCGAATATCTCGAAGCTTTTGGTGATTCTCAACTAATAGTCAACCAAATTCGAGGAGAGTACGAAGTCAAGAATCAAGACTTGATACCATATTATTAGGTGGCCATCGAGATGGTAGGTTCGTTTGAAGAATTATTCATCGAATACATTCCACATCTCTAGAATGCATATGCAGATGCACTGGTGGCATTAGCGGTATCTCTGGCATAGCCTCTCTGTTAGATATAGGTGCCCTGCAGGCAATTATTGTATATTGTAACAGGACCTATATGTATATAACATCCTTGTTCAAAATGATAGTATGCTATTTTGGTCAGATTTATCTGATGTTCTAAATATACAGATAATGTCCTTAGAATAAATACTAGACTATCAGACATTTCGGATAGTGATCGTAATGAAGAGATCTGATTAGTCGGTAACGTATATTCTAAAATGTTCCTAGTTGATGAAGTGTTGAGATAGGACATCATCACTTTGGTTTAGACTAGTGTATGCTTTATTTCTCCTTTTGAAGGAGATGATCAATCTCTTAGATCATTGATGTGAGACATCAAGATACAGTATACAGGTGACTCATTAGTGAATGAGTTGACTGAACGACTCGCCGAGAACATCTAGTTGGTAATATACTTAACTGTCAAATAGAAGTTCTCAAGTGATATAGTACATAGTAGTCTCTTGACCTGAGGCATGAGTGCAATATCTTATATGTCAGTAAAGATGTATTTAGACTTTTACCTAACCACAGTTCTTATTGAATTGTGCATAACGGTTCTTGTTGGGTACATCCCGAGACATAAGTAGATATTGAGATGCCAAGAAGGGATTCGTCTCTCCCAGTATAGGGGTTGATGTCATAAGATTGTTTGATATAACTATAGCCTGGAAATCCTTGGCCAAGGTGAATTGCACACATTCATCTCGTAAAGGTGGTGTAATGCCTTTTTTCGATAAGTTATTCTTAAAATTAGCCAAGGGATGACGAATACAATAAGAGTGATGTGACCATGGAAAGCATTTCTTCACCGAATTCTGAAGTCCTTTGTCCCTATCAGAGATTAACACCAGTTCATCATCTGGAGTATATGGATCTTCATTTAGCCAAGAGATGACGAATACAATAAGAGTGATGTGACCATGGAAAGCATTTCTTCACGGAATTCTGAAGTCCTTTGTCCCTATCAGAGATTAACACCAGTTCATCATCTGGAGTATATGGATCTTCATCATTGAAGAGAATGTCTCGAATGCATTCTAAAAACCATTCCCTTGAACTCTCCATACCTATCAAAAAGATGTGTACCATCCAAGAACAATATTGGTCTACATCCCTCCATAAACCCTTTCCAACAAGCATAATAAGACACAAATACTCGTGTAAATCTTCCATCCTCATGCTCTAGGTGAACAATTGATCCCGGATTAGTTTCTATAACTTTATCCTTATACCATCGGAGTTGGTCATATGAAAATTTAGTATCACCATACAACTCACGTTGAGCTAGCTCTTTTCCCCACCAAATTCTATGATAAGGGATGTCCAAACCAAATTCCATTTTAAGCTTCTTTTGAAAATCAATTGGGCGATAAGTGGGTTGTTCCTTCAATATGGTCTTGAGCTGATTAGCATTCCACTTACGAGATGCCCGTTGATATCCTTCCTTTCCTATGCCTCCTCCCAAGCAACTATGAGAACTATATATTTTTTTCACATAGAATCGATCATTATCTCTACGACGGGTGCAATGAACCATCCATTCGCAGTTTGCGGCCTTGCATTTTGCTGTCACCCTTTTGCGTTCATTTTTTACAAATTCAAAGTTAAATCCTCGTGCAATAGAGTAATTACTTAAACTCCGCCGACAATGTTCAACATCATCAAATTCTTGACCAACACTTCTAATAGCATTGTGCCATGCAATAGGAATCATATTAGAGCTCTCAACTTCCCGCGACATATTTTGTGAATACGATGGATTTTGTGAATGAGAAACATGATCATCACTAGAGGGGATATACGGATTACTGCATAGAAAATTGTACAAGAGTTAAGAAAGTGATAATGTTAAAAGTACGAAACTATATCAAAAGTGTAAATTACCTTATATGGACATCGTTAGCTTGTATGCCAAATAATATGTCTCGATTCATCTCAGCGTTCATGACAACAACATTCTCCTTGCAACTTCGATGTACATTGACCATTATCGAGACATCAGCATCATCACATACACGAACATATATTTCTTGCGTGTGGGGTACTTTGTAAGTCAACTGTATCGTGCTTGCACTACAAGCAATTAGGCTTTGCACTGCAACGGCCAAATCTTTGTAACTCCCGTTGACATTTAATTCTAAAAAGTGATTGTTTCCTCTAAAATCCGTCAATGCACAATACAATTCTTCATCCATCTATATTTGTTACCAAAAATAAACAAATTTAGAGAAAAATTTCATCAAAGATAGACACATAAAATCAATACAGCTAAAATACCGCTACATGATAACGTGCTATCCTTGTATGTTAACGTGTTATACTTACATGATAACGTGTTATACTTACAGATTAACGTGCTATACTTTCAGGTTAACGTGCTATACTTACAGGTTAACATGCTATACTTACAAGTTAATGTGCTATACTTACAGTATAACGTGCTATACTTACAGTATAATGTGCTATACTTACAGTATAACATGCTATACTAACAGTATAACGTGATATACTTTCAGATTAACATACTATACTTACAAGTCTTGTATTTCATGCTATACTTACATGTTATCATTCTACACTAAGATCAAATTTAACTAAAATATCATCAATCAATTATATACAAATTTAACTAACATTTAAATATAGGTTAACGTGCTATACTTTCAGGTTAACGTGTTATACTTACAATATAACGTGCTATACTTTCAGGTTAACGTGCCATACTTACAATATAACGTGCTATACTTACAGGTTAATGTGCTATACTTACATGATAACGTGTTATACTTTCATGATAACGTGTTATACTTACAATATAACATGCTATACTTACATGATAACGTGCTATACTTACAATATAACATGTTATACTTACAGGTTAATGTGCTATACTTACAGTATAATGTGCTATACTTACAGTATTAATGTGCTATACTTACAGTATAACATGCTCTACTTATATTAATATGCTATACTTATAAGTCTGGTAATTCATGCTATACTTACATGTTATCATTCTATACTAAGATCAAATTTAACAAAAATTTCATCAATTATAACAAATTTAACTAATATTTAACTAATTGTTATGAATTCATAACAATAACATTTTACTAAAAATAATTATGTGAAATAACATTATGTGAAATAACTAATTATGTGAAATAATAATGTGAAATAAGAAGTGCAAAATAATTATGTGAAATAACTAATGTGAAATTAATGGGTGGTTAATTACAAAACCTCAGTTATCTAACATTTTACTAAAAATAACGAATTAAAATTTTTTTATGAACTCATTTAACTAACTTATCAAATAATTGTCATGGTTAAAATGAGAAATTAATGCTAACAACTTGGTAGTTGAGTAAATTGCAAATTTCTACCTTCAAATGCCCAGAAAGTTGGTGAGAATTAATTGATGGGTTGTAGGAGAGAGTGATTAAATGATGGGTTATAGGAGAGAGTGTTGAGTTCTATTAATGGAGTGAGAGAAAGGGAGAAGAAGAGGGGGGCAGAGAGAGGACGGAGAGAGAATGGAGGGGGGAAATTTACCGCCAGTTTCCCCCCTCTCTCTCCATTTCGTTTATTTTATTTAAGGGGGACCCACTTAAATGAATTCTATAAGTGGGAGGGTATAACCGGAATTTAAGAAAAATATATGGGGGGACCCACTGCTGAAAGTATTGTATTTTGGATTTGGGTTTAAAGACAAATACAAAAAGAAATTTGGACTTAGAGATACAACTAATACTACTTGGGTTTAAAAATAAAGGGAGGTAAACTATTGGACCTAAAGACAAAAAGCCCTAACACTCTTCCTGCCTTGCTTAATTTGTTAAGACAGGAAGAAAGTTCTTTGAAAAAGGGACAAACACCAGTCTTGGCTATAGGGCAATCTTCTTCCTCTTCTGGCAAATTGGTTGCTAAGAAAAAAGGAATGAAGAAAACTACTAAACCAAGGAAAGGTGTTAAGAAGGCTGTCAAGAAGGATAAAGGAAAGGCAAAAATGATGACAGCAGAATGCTTCCATTGTCATAAGTCAGGACATTGGAAAAGGAACTGCCCAGAATACCTAGCCTCACTCACCAAGAATAAGCAAGTTGTTGCTTCATCTACAGGTGTGTTTGTTACTCAGAATTGTTTTTCTATAAATCATACATCCTGGGTATTAGATACCGGATCAGGATCTCACATCTGTAATTTGTTACAGGGACTTAAAAGTTATAGAAAACTTGGAGCTGGAGAGATGACTATGCAAGTTGGTAATGGTGCAATAGTTGCAGCACTTGCAGTAGGGGATTTTCATCTAGCTTTACCAAATGGAAACGTTTTGATTTTAAATAGCTGCTATTTTGTACCAACTATGATGTGTAATATAATATCCATATCTTTATTAGATAAAGATGGATATGTATTTAAGTTGGAGAACAATGTTATGAATATCATATTTAATCAAAAGTTGATTGCTTATGGAACATTGTGCAATGGCATCTATATTCTTAATCAAAATACAATTCTGAACACTTATCACACTAATAAAAGAAAGCACTCAGTTATGAATGACGCTTTCTTATGGCATTGCAGACTTGGTCACATTAATAAAGAAAGACTTGGCGAGCTTCATAAGCATGGATATTTAGATCCATTTGACTTTGAGTCTTATGAGACTTGCAAGTCTTGTCTTAAAGGTAAAATGACCAAGACTCCATTTACAGGAACTGGAGTAAGAGTTACAGAACTCTTAGGACTGATACATAGTGATGTATGTGGTCCTATGTCTACAATGGCCAGAGGTGGCTACTCCTACTTTATTACTTTTACTGATGATTTTTCAAGGTTTGGACATGTGTTTTTGATGAAACACAAATCTGAAGCACTTGAGAAATTTATCGAGTACAAAAATGAAGTAGAGAACCAAACGGGCAAGAAAGTTAAAATTCTTCGATCGGATCGAGGAGGTGAATACTTGAGCTCGGAATTCTTAGGTATTTTAAAAGAGAATGGGATTCTCTCTCAGGTTACTCCACCCTTTACACCACAGCTTAACGGCGTGTCAGAAAGAAGGAATCGTACCCTATTAGATATGGTACGTTCCATGATGAGTAACACTGAGTTACCTTTTTCATTCTGGGGGTATGCATTAGAAACAGCAACACACTTACTGAATAGGGTTCCAACTAAAGCAGTGCCTAAACCTCCATATGAGATATGGAGTGGGAAGAAACCACATCTTAATTATATTAAGATTTGGGGATGTCATGCTTATGTAAAGAAGCAAGATCCCAAAAAGTTAGAGGCACGCTCAGTATTATGCAAATTTGTAGGATATCCAAGGAATTCCATTGGATATCAATTCTACCACATCGATGAACAAAAGATAATTGTTTCTCGGCATGCCACCTTCTTAGAGAAGGAATTTCTTGAAAAAGAAATTAGTGGGAGCATGGTAGAACTGGAAGAAATTTCAGAGATACAAAATATTACTGATAAATTAGTGGAACCAGCAAATTCAGTTATACCAGAAGAACCTCAACCACTCCACAGATATCCAAGGCGATCTCATGCACCTAAGACACAATATAATTTTTTAGTTGAAGGTGGCATGTTAGATCACGTCATAGATGATGACGAACCTTTAAGTTATCAGCAAGCCTCTGAGAGTAGGGACTCTGTTGCTTGGCATGATGCAATGAAATCTGAAATAGACTCTATGTACACCAACAAAGTATGGATATTAGACAATGCTCCTAAAGGGGTGATACCCATAGGTTGCAAATGGTTGTTTAAGAAAAAGTTGGGTGTAGATGGAAAAGTAGAGACTTTTAAAGCTAGACTGGTAGCTAAAGGTTTTCGTCAAAGACCTGGTTTGGACTACGATGAAACTTTTTCTCCAGTGGCTATGCTCAAGTCTATTCGGATCCTACTTGCTATAGCTGCTCACTATGACTATGAGATCTGGCAAATGGACGTTAAAACTGCATTTCTAAATGGTGATTTAGAAGAGTGCATATATATGACGCAACCAGAGGGTTTTGTAGTTAGTGGGAGCAGTGGAAAAGCATGTAGATTGCTTAAATCTATTTATGGACTGAAGCAAGCATCACGGAGATGGAACATCTGTTTTGATGATGCTATCAAAGAGTTTGGTTTCATCAAAAATCCAGATGAACCATGTGTGTATAAAAGGATAATTGGGAGTATTATATCGTTTCTTATTTTATATGTAGACGATATACTCTTAATCGGTAATGACATACCGTCATTACAAGCGGTTAAAATTTGGCTATCAAAAAGATTTTCCATGAAAGATTTAGGTGAAGCATCCTGTATACTGGGTATTCAGATCTATAGAGATAGATCTAAAAGGATGTTAGGATTATCGCAATCTAGATACATTGGCAAAGTGCTAAAACGGTTTAGCATGGAAAATTCCAAGAAAGGTTTTGTACCTGCATCTCCTGGAATCTCCCTCTCTAAAAAGATGTCTCCCCGGACTGATGAAGAGAGGAAACGCATGAGTCTAATTCCTTATGCCTCGGCAGTAGGATCGATCATGTATGCCATGTTATGTACTAGACCAGATATCGCTTATTCACTCAGTTTGGTAAGTAGATACCAATCTGATCATGGAGAAGAGCACTGGAAAGCGGTCAAGAATATACTTAAGTACCTTAAAAGGACTAAAGAGTTATTTTTGATATACGGTAAAAGTGACCTCCGAATGGAGGCTTTTTCCGACTCAAGCTTTCAGAGCGATATCGATGATAGTAAGTCTGTATCAGGATATGTTTTCACCCTCAATAGAGGAGCTGTCAGCTGGAAAAGTTCCAAGCAGGATACAGTAGCAGACTCGACTATGGAAGCTGAATACATTGCAGCTAATGATGCAGCTAAAGAAGCTGTCTGGATGAGGAAGTTCCTTTTAGAGCTGGAAGTTGTTCCCACCATTAAAGATCCAGTACCTTTATACTGTGATAATAATGCTGCAATAGCTCTGACAAAGGAACCCCGATCTCACCATAAGTCCAGACACATTCTGAGGAAGTATCACTTGATCAGGGAGATAGTTGATCGCCGGGAGATCAAGATTGAAAGAGTAGACACAAAAGATAATATAGCAGATCCATTCACAAAGGCAATTGCTCGTTCACAATTTGAGAAACTTGTTGAGCTATTGGGTATTAGATACTAT